CTTACCTCGTTCGGAATTCTAACTATAGAAATACTTTAGTAGTAGACTAGAAAACCTCTAAGGGGTACTATTCCTGAAGCTTTTGTCTTACCTATGTATTACCTTACCGCTTGGAATCTAACATGAAAATACTTTGTAGAGACTAAGATAACCACTAAGGGGACATTCTGAGCTTTTGTCTTACCTAATGTCTTACCTTACCGCTTGGAATCTAACATGAAAATACTTTGTAGAGACTAAGATAACCACTAAGGGGACATTCTGAGCTTTTGTCTTACCTAATGTCTTACCTTACCGCTTGGAATCTTAACATGAAAATACTTTGTAGAGACTAAGATAACCACTAAGGGGACATTCTGAGCTTTTGTCTTACCTAATGTCTTACCTTACCGCTTGGAATCTAACATGAAAATACTTTGTAGAGACTAAGATAACCACTAAGGGGACATTCTGAGCTTTTGTCTTACCTAATGTATTACCTTACCGCTTGGAATCTAACATGAAAATACTTTGTAGAGACTAAGATAACCAATAAGGGGACATTCTGAGCTTTTGTCTTACCTAATGTATTACCTTACCGCTTGGAATCTAACATGAAAATACTTTGTAGAGACTAAAAAACCACTAAGGGGACATTCTGAGCTTTCAATTAGTTATACATGTGTCATTGGGCGAAGTAGGTGTACGTAAGCAGGTATTTTCAAAAATGGAAGAGATGGGAGGGACCAACTTTTTTTGATTCAATAAATATATTAATATCTCAGAAAAGATAGGGGTTCCTATCTTATATTCTAACTTGACAATATTGGTAACTAATTTGTAAGAATCTATAGACTTTGTATGTGGACATCACAAACATCTAATTTGAACCAATGCTGCATTCATCATACCACGTGACACAGAAAAATCGATATTTAGGTGTTTTTTTATTATTATTTACTTTTAAATCAAGAAATTAGCTATTGTATAATACTAAAATTTGAATTATAATTTAAAATTTGATACCAAACTTTTTGACATACATTCTTAAAATAGTAGTTGAATAAAAATTTGAATGGGAGTCTACAAATGCAACGACACGGCCTTTGACCCATGACCATAGGAAGACCCATCTAGGTAGGGTTAAGATGTTATTTTTGTAAGGTATTTATGTCTTTGTATTTTGTGCAATTTCAGATCAGAAAAAGTCAGCAGTTTCATCAAATGTTCACCAACCTTATCGAAACCTTAGCTTCCTCCAGTCTACTGTGTACACCATTGTTAGCTGTGCCATTGCATTTATATTCATCACAACTGTTATGGTGGTTGCTATCTGTCGCATTCATATGAGAAAATCTGCTATGTCCCTCCATTCCAGGAGGCGCTGCAGCTCTACAAGCAGAAGTGGACTGTGGAGATCCTGGTTTGGAGAGAGAAGATCTGCTAATGGCAACTTACAAGTAAGTGATTTATCAAATTGAAAATCTACTGTATGAAAGTGT